GTTGGTATCCTGTCCAAGTAGTATTGTTGGATCAAAGTTGAATGGATTAGAAGAGCCTCTTTTAATAAGTGGCCCAGGACTGAAACATAAGACAACCCCTCTTTCGTGAGGGATGATGTTGGGAACGCAAGCCTCACCTTCTTCTCTGGCGTTTCGGAGTGGTTGAATTCCACACGTTTTGCGTTTGTATCACAGAGAGGGATTTGGACACCTCTTCTTTCGTTTTTCATGTGATCTCTGAGTTAGACCTTCCTAAGCTCTGAAGCCCTGGGGCCGAACACACCAATGGTTTCTCATTTATTTATACTGTCCCTTTCCATCATCTATTTGAGAAGGCCTCAAATAAAAGACACAAGTACAGTTAGGCCATGAAATAAAAATAAAAGATTAAAAGCACTAAGGAAAGCAGAAGAAGAAGGAAAAAAAAAAGCCTGTGATGATCTAGAAAGAAGCACAGGATAAAATTTTATGTTCACAAGTAGGAGAAAAATGTGGTGGAGTACATACTTTGTGTTAAGTGATAAAATGAAGTACACCAGAGTTTCAAAGATGTTATGCCTTATCTATCATAAAATTAGAAAAAACACTCAAAGCATGAGTCCTTTTGGGGGAATATGAAGTGAAGAGTGGGAATCGTCTTCCACATCCGTTTCATATAGTGGATAAGGTGGTTTTTACACAAATGCATTTCATGCTACAACTGCATCATTACTATGGGCACCATGACATTGAATGTCATTCACAGATGGTGATAATCAGCCGACAGGGTCAGGGATCATGCAGTCTGGTGATCTAATGTGACAATAGGAGACTTGGAGGACCAGGCAACTGCCTTTGATCTAGTCATTTGGCCTGAAATCCCACTGTAGGAGATTCAAGGCAAACCTAGGCACGATCCGAAAGAAAGGCAGTTGGAGGTAGAAATTTCTGGTGAAAGCTTAGAATGCACATGGATTATGCTGTTGATGGGAAAAGAGACATTTGCTTTGGACCACGCAGGTGAAGCAGTTCCGTGAACTGACCGCATGTTACTAGGCTTTAGCCAATGTTCCCTTTGACTTTCTTAACACTGGAAATGCAGCAGATAAGACAAGTGATTGCCTATTAACTGGTGTGTCAAAGGCACATTCCAGTGATGATGGCTGAGTGAATCGAGACACAGTAGAGCAAAGTGGGGTGCAAATGAAGGAATGAGTCTCCATGCTTGATTTACATAGATCCAATCATTACCTC